CTTAGCTCCATGGAAAAACACCCCCGTAAAAACACAAGAATCGCAAAATACGTCACCTGCTTTCAAGGGCGTGGGGTTAAGCCGGAGGAAATATGCCTGGTTAATCTTAGCACAGCTTACTGACCTCCTCCACTTCATTTGGTCGCCTGTAGCATCTGGCACATTTAAATGGCATCGGGTAGGCGAGAAGACGAAACATACAATGGATTTGTACAACTGAAGTTTTGAAATAAATGGAACAGGCAGCAATATGCACACCGCTCCTCTGCATCTTCAACATTTTCACTAGGCTTGTAGGTGTATACGCAGGATGCAAGAAAAAGGTTCAGGTAGTGTGTTGGCATTTTTTCCTTTATAGTCAGGAAAAGGTCTCACGTGGGTTTCTTCCAGAGCAGAATATAAGGAGTAAAAATCTGATGCCCGTGTTAATGGCAGGGAAGAGTCAGAGGTGTGCCAGACAAATTGGTTTGCAATCCAACCTGGAAGGAACAAATAATGTTAAAAAATGAAATTTCATTTCCAAATACAACAAAATGGAATCTTGTGTGTTACACATTGGGTATTTAAAAGAGAGATCCCAGCTAAAAAATAGTAACAATTCAGCAGAGGTAAGAGATTGCTCAGCAGTAGCTAGAAAACAAATTCCCGTCTTGGTCTTTGTTTTATTTACTTTTACTATAAAGCCCAACCAGTTAAAAGGGGGAGGAGGGAGGGACTGCCCTTCCTTCCATGAATCTGTGCAGATTCAGGACTGAAGGACTAAAATCTGTCTGCTGCTGGTTGAGAAGAAAACCAGTACTCCAGGAAAACATCTTTCCTGCTCGATAGGCAGGTGGTGGGGGAGAAACACTGTACTGCACTAGCTTACACCACAAGCAGGAAAGGTGTCAGAAGCGTCCTGGATAATAATGCACCAGCTCAGCACAAGCAGATTAGTTCTCCTTCCAGGACAGATTTTGTGTTGGTCTCATTGCTACCATGGCACGTTGTTACCTAGTGCCATAGCCAGTGGGTGGACAGGCAGGCTAGAGCTGTGCAGCTCCCCCTTTAAACTTTGCTCCAACAGAGCAGATGCTCTCAGACATCCCATTTCAGTGCTGACTTTGAGGAGTGGCTGAATTTGAGTCCCACTTACAGTCAAGACCCTGTACAACCAGGCTTCGTAGATGTGAGGATGATTTACTCACGTTTTCCAGGTGAAACCACTCCTGACAACATCAAAGCAACCGGCAGGAGGTGCAGAGGGTTGTAGTCACCTCAGTGGAGTGTTCATTTTCAGACTGGCCGCCTGTTTTTCTGGCATTACTCCTTTAATTGATGATCTTTATGTTTAAAACTGAAAACATGAAGCCCAAATGCGTATTCCTCTGTAACAAAGTCTTCAGCTTGTTTTCTTTCTAGAATAACCTAAGACAACAAGCATAGAGACCCAGTGTCTACAACTTGCAGCAAAGAACGTCTCTCACTTCTGCTACAGCTTCACTGTCGTTATTTATAATTTAGTTGTGTTTTGAATTTGCCCGGAGTGGGCTATTTATTTTTTCTCTCCTTTACTTTCTGAAGGCATCCAACTATAGAAAACCTGGCTTAAGTACAGCCCAGCGGAAGAAAAGTGGCTTGAAACCTGAACTTACAGAAGAGCAAAAGCAGGAGATCAGAGAAGCTTTTGATTTGTTTGATACTGATGGATCTGGAAGCATTGACATAAAAGAACTGAAGGTTTTCAAACTTCTTTTTCTTGGATGGAAGTATCTTTGATCTCAAAATTGTAGCTTCTTCTCCTGTTTGTCCAACCCTAACTATTTTGGAGTACGAACAAGAATAATGGCTTGCTGTCATGACAAAATTTGGGGTATACTACATGGTTAACCTGAGAAAGCTCTGTATGCAATACTTGAGAGCAGACAGGCTTCTCTAATACATGGACAGTAGGTCAGATGATAGCTTTGAATATCTGAGCATTAGAGGAACTAAACAGTTCCTCTGTTCAGGTACACACAACACAGCACACATTTCAGTTTTCACAACTGGCTAAAAATCATTGTTTCTGGGAAGCAGACTTTTGTTGTTTCAGGACGAATGTCAGAATATCACATTTTTTTCTTCATCTCAGAAGTAAACACAGATTTTGCACACATTCAGGAAAGTTATACACATATTTTCATCCAAAAATTAGCTGGTTTTTAATTTAAAAAAGAACAAACCAGAGATGTGAGTTGCATTTCAGTACCAATTCAGGTAGTGTGTGCGTACATGCACACACACAGTAGTACAAGGGGGAAGATTTTTGTCAGTTCTCTCCCTATGGTTTTTGTGTGTCTGAGCTTTTTTTTAAGCGTGAAGCTTTTATCTTAATTATCTCCTTGACCTTCATTTCTCATATACACACACTCTGCCTCAATTTCTGCGTACCTAGAAGCATGGCTTATCTAAGCCTGTGGCTTATCTCAGGATATATTTGGAGGTACTTATGCTTGGTTAAGGAGAGTGTGTTCCCTGAACACAGATTATACATGTTAAAATATAGTTCTTAAAATGGACTGAAACATTTTAGCATCAACCATTTAATGCTATGTTTTTCTTCTTCAAAATTAATTCACAATAGTGGATATTTTACAATAGAAAGCGTTCCCCTCTGAAAGACAAAATGGAACATTTTCAGTTGTCCCATCGCAAGAAACTGGTCAGAAAAGACAATTCAGTTAAATGTTAAGTTTCTGATGAATTAGCACTTTCCAGTAGAAGAGCATTTAGTGAGAAAATTTCTGCCTAATATTAACTATTGATTTCCACTAGAGCATATAGGAAGAACGAACGTTCAAAGTTCAAATCTTCCTCTAGTTATGTGTTCTTGAAACTTCAGTCTCTGAATTAAATATGCTGTAACCATCTGGCACACCAGGATTGTGAAATTACCAATAAACACTCAAGGAGCAAAATCATTGTTCTAGGCTGGTGAAATGCCAGAGCCTGGTTTTAAACAATGTTAACATTAAGCATTTGTACAATAATCTACACAACTGTTTTTACAGTAATACTTTGCTTGCGCTCTGTAAGGCTGAGGTGGTTTGCTTTGCTTTTCCTCAACTAGGGCAGCAGTCAGTCTTTGCTTTGCTGAGGCACTCGGGGAGTACTGTCAGTTCCCACCACCTAGCCAGAGGTGCCAAGAGCTACGCACAGGGATTTATTCTCTCGTGTACTGGATTGTGTAAGTTAACTGCACGTAATTCTGCAGCCATCAAAATCAATGGGCATTCTGCCCTTAATTTCAAATGGAGCGAGGTCACATTCCTGGTCTCCAGCCTCCCTTGAAGTCCCATTTTGATAATCCAGTCCCTTTAGGAACTATGTAGATCGGAACCTTTACCTAATTCAGACACAAAAAGTTCCTCTTAGTTTCAGAAATACATCCATGTTCCACATGGATCTAAAGAGAAAGTACATCTGAGTCTTAAGAATATCAGACCTACACTATTACTCTTTGGAAAGATGAAACAAGCTGGTAAGAGAGATCAAGATGTTTTCGTTGCAGTGAGTTATTATTACAGTTTTGGAGAAGGAAATTAAACAAGCTTTAGTGCAACTGCTGACACTGTAATTCTGGTGGCCTCCTAACCAAATTGCTTTTTGTCACAGGTTGCTATGCGTGCTTTAGGCTTCGAGCCAAAGAAGGAAGAAATTAAGAAAATGATAGCAGATATTGACAAAGAAGGAAGTGGCACCATTGACTTTGAAGACTTTTTGGCTATGATGACGCAAAAAATGGTAGGAATTCTGAATAGAAATTCTTGTGACAGCGTAAAAAAAGTACTGAAAAGGAATATCTCGGTGGCAGGTGTTTTCTAATTAATGTATGTTTTGTTTTAGAGCGAAAAGGATTCAAAAGAAGAAATCTTGAAAGCTTTTAGATTATTTGATGATGATGGGACAGGCAAAATTTCATTCAAAAACTTGAAGAGGGTTGCCAAGGAGCTGGGAGAAAATTTAACAGATGAAGAACTTCAGGTAAATTATGATTTGCCAGAGCTTTTCTACCAGACACAGACCAATCCTGTAGCTCCCAAGGATTGGGTGCAAATTTATGCCTATACAAAAAGGGCTGAGAGGTCAGAAATAGGAAGAGCAATCAAATACATGGTTATATTTTCACTTGAAGTGCTTCTGATTTGTTGTTGGTTTAATGAATGGAAGATCTTGTGTTTGGAGTCCAGTGCCTGATCAAATGTACAACGTGTTTTGTAGGAAATGATTGATGAAGCTGATCGAGATGGAGATGGAGAAGTAAGCGAGCAAGAATTTTTGAGAATCATGAAGAAAACTAGCTTATATTAATATTTGTTGCCTTGCTATACAGCTGGTCCAAAAGATAACCTGGAAAAGACTTAAAAACTGGGCTTGTCTCTCCTGCGTATTTTCTGCCATATAAAGAAAGTCTGAAAGGACAGATTTTTCATTCATTCTTCTTTTTCAGCAAAGTTAATTGGGGAAGGGGGGCTTCAGTACCCAGAACTGTTAAAATGAGACACTGCAGAAGTGAAAAGGGAGGATGAACTGAACCTGAAAGGCAGGGTCCCTTCCCCTCCCCCCCGACAATTTTATTGATTGCCATTTTGGATAAAGAATGCTGTGTTTCAGCTATTTAACTAAAAGACATTTCACTTGAGATGTGAAGATTCCCACTGCTGCTGGGAAAGGCCACTTTTGACTTTCCTAAGGCTACAGAATGAAGGTACAAGCACAGTATTTTTATTCCTTTTAGGTTATCTTTTGGTGTTTGTCTCCTTTTGTTTATTTCCATGAAAGACTCTAAACCCAATTGCATATTTGTCCTTATTTCTGTATGAAACACTGTTTTCCCAGGGCAAGTTAGACCTAATGGGAATCAAATGTAGATAACCAGATTTGGTTCTTCATTTGGAACTATGTGCCATCAGCCCATGTTCTTCTGTTTATCTGATCATCTGAAACCTAGTTTACTTGAATGTAACTTGCTTGGATGATCGAAGTTCATTGTATAACCAGTCAACATCTTGTGCCATCGTCCTTACTCCCAAGGCATTACAGAGCTGCTGTTATGCCAGGATTTTAGATACCCAAAAAGTTCAGTTCTGTGGTGCAGTAGGGTAAATTTTGTCTTTGGCTGTTTACAGTCAAGTTGCAGGGAGGACTCGTATCTAAAGTGAAAAAATAGCTCACCTTGGACATCTGGGGAACACTGAATATATTGAGATCCATGCAATCCAAACTCATTTCAGGCATCACAGGTTTGGGTTTCTTTTTTTTTTTTTTTTTTGGGAGTACCTTATTTGCAGGGAGGACTCGTATCTAAAGTGAAAAAATAGCTCACCTTGGACATCTGGGGAACACTGAATATATTGAGATCCCTGCAATCCAAACTCATTTCAGGCATCCCAGGTTTTGGTTTTTTTTTTTTTTTTTTTTTTAGGAGTACCTTAATTTTCTTGACTATTTCTTGCATATACTGTCAGTCTAGGACTTACTGGAGTGCCGCATTTCCTTCTGTATTACGGTGACAGAGCAGTGACACACAGCATGACATCCAGTTATGTTGTTCGGCAGGGGGGTTTATCCTTGGGTCCTGATTAGACAGTCAGCTTCAAAACTGCAGGGAAATGGTATAATCCTAAGTCACCTCTCTAAGGCGCCTGAAGGAGAGTTTGTTACTGCTCACAGTGAAGTGGCAAGTAGGGGGCAAAATGTCAGAAGAGTTCAATGGGAAGAGGAGAGAAAGCACAGTATTTCACCAGTATCTGTTAAAATCCCTCTTTTCTTCAGACAGCTTCTGCTGCTTGGCAGCGCTAAGGGGGTTTGTATAAGAAAGGAAGAGCCAGCTTCTGGATCAGCTCCTCATAACAGCTGCGTCAGCCCTCCTGAGCTGTAAGGGCCCAGCAAGGGGAGAATTCATTTCAGGAGAGGAAAGGAGAAGTGTTCATGTACCTATCTTCTCAGCGTGCAGATGTGGGCCTGGCACATTCTGCCCCAGTCCTCCCAGTTTTGTACTCTGGACAACTCTAAATAGGCCCTCTCTAACCTGTACAGAGAAGTAGGCTGAAACCTGTGGGAGAACAGGGATTGTGTAGGACACTGGAAAACTCAAGAGACCTCTGAAGTCCCCTATTAACATATTCAGTGGCAGTAGATGTAACGTATAGTACTGTAAGCGTTTTAAAATGTCTATTAACTTTGTATACGTGTGAAATAAAACTGTTTTGCAAGTTAAGGACTTTGTGTGCTTTATAGTTTGGTATGCTTACTATGAAAACTAAATTTTCAAAAATAATTTTAAAGCGTTAAATGGTTCACCAAGTACATTTTCGCTTTCATTTATCTTTTCTTTCTAAGAGAGAAATTCTTAGGTGCGGTAGTCTATCACCTAATTCCTCTCCCTCTTCCACTATGCTGATTAAAAGTTTCTAGTACTAACCACATATATTCAGAAACGGAAATTGGAAGTTCTAGTTGATTACGGGGAATCCCAGAGCCTATTAGAGTGACTGTACTTTTTTTAATGCTGTCACAGGAAGAGATTGATGACTGTTGTTTACCTATGATGCATGTCACTTCTCTCTTCCTGTTCTAATCCCGCTACCTGACTTCTGAAGGTAGGAAAAAGACACAAATCATACCGACCATATACACTACAATGATGAAGTGTAATTTCTGGCTTGCCCATTAATCTCTTAAGTCTGGAATGTGGAGCAGGGGCTGAATTAGCACAAAACTTCCAAGTGTTAACGTAATAGAACAAGTGTCTCATGCTGCTTTAGTCTGCGAGGTAGCGAGGGATATCTTGTCCCCTCTGCAGCCGCATGCACAGAGTACGACAACTAACACAGCAATATTGACAGCAGCCCACAGCAGTGCTGTGGTTCCACGTGAATTATTTTTGGTGCCCTTGTGAATCCTTCCTGTCCCTTCTAGAATTTTATCTTTTACATTGCTATACATGGTGGAGGAAAAGGAGCCTGATCGAAGCCAGTGGCAGAACGCAGTCAGGTTTGCGTGAGGAATAGATGCTTAACTGCCCCTTCAGGAATTTCATCCTTTTACCATGCTGAAGAAAGTGACTCAGATCAATGAGCTGGGAAGGTACCCAGCAGACATTTTTACTGGGCTCTGTTCTAGTGCCTACTCGAGTAGCTTACCCTAAATGGAGGGGTTTCTCTAGAGGAGACAGATCACTTGCACCCCTCTCCTCCTCTTCCCATTCACTCTGTTCTCAAAAATAAGAGCTGGGGCACTTCCAGGAGACTTGCACTAAAGCAGCAAAAAGGACACAAAGCAGTGATTTGGGTTGCCTTGCATGGAAGGACCCATCCCTCAAGGCACCTGAATCCAAGTGGTCATCAGTGGAAGTGCGTACAGGCTGGCACCTGGTGCAGAGGGGAACGCTTCAGTCCCAACCCTGCTTAAGGTTCCCTACAGACTGACCTGGGCAGCTCCAGGGGTGGTGCGAGGCAGACGGCTGTGAACCTTTGCATCCCTTTTCCCCCTTCGTGCCAACACAGAGGCTGGGCTCTTACCTGGCATTTGCAAATTCTCCTCGGATGGCTGCAATTCAGACGCTGCAGTATGTGCATCCAGCTGAGATCCTTCCTTCCACGACATCAGCGAAGCCTGGTTTTCAGTCTGAGTGTTCGTGCTAGCCAGACACTGTACAAAAAGGAAAGTAGAACTGCAATTTGTATTTGGCAAGCACCTAAATATCAAAGCACTGATAAGGGCGATAGCTGCTTGGGAGATAATATTGCAAATGACTTCCAGTTAAAAATGTTTTTAAATGAAAATGTACTGGGCTTTTAATAAAATACAAAATGGTTAAAGAGAAAAAAATTACTTGCAAGTTATATTCCAAAATACGCCAGCTGCATGGCAATTTTAAACTAACATTTGCTGTTACCTCCCCTGTACAACTTGAAGTTCTTTATCATCTCTCAGCCCCACAATCCTTCCAGTCCCACAGTAAAGCAAATCTTCAGTTGGCTTTGGGGTGTGGGGGGGAAATCCACCAACCAAAACAAAACGTGACTATCTAGTGTGTAAAGATGTTTTAAATAATCTGAGCTGGCAACTTCAAACACTGGACTGTCATGCTTTCTCACCACATCACAGTGAAAAGTGGGTGAAGGCAGCAATCTTGAAGGCCATTGACTTCTTTGCAGTTATACCTGGGCCAAGTGTGTGTACAACAGCAGGCTGGCCAGGCACAGGTGATTGCAAAAGACTGGAGGAGTCCTGCATTGCATGAGGTGCCATTGCAGTTAACTGGTAACAACTGCTACGCTCTCCCTTCTCTATTGTTTTCAGAGCAGTAAGCACAGGGTCAACTTCTAACATTGCAGAAAAATAATGGCTTCTTTTCAGGTAAGCCTAATCTTGGCATTTAAAAGGGGATGGGGGAAAGCAACAGAAGAAATCCTTTGTGTACTTTCACATGCCAAGAGCCCTACTAACAGAGCTCAAATATTTAGTATTAAAATATTTAAATTGGTAATTTACAGTTTTGAAGAATAACTCTCACATCCTACAAACTGCCTGGTGAAGTCACACGACATATTTGAAATGTCAAGTATTAATTCCCTGGAAATCTCCTCACTGAGTTCATATAAATCAAATATTGCCACGCTACATCTGCTTTTAAACACCCCTGGATAGCATAAGCAGATTTTGAGAAAGACTCAGGCAGTAGAAAGTGCTCTAGGCCTGAATTCACCATTGCCACATCTGACACATGGAAACACTGACAGAACACATTTTTACGACATGGGTTAAATATTTCTGTGACCCCAACAAAAATTCTGCAGTACCATACTACTTAAAGTCTATTCCATGCGCTGGCTGGTACACTTGGCAATCTTTGCAAGCGTATCGGCATGATGTATTGCCTTTAGGTAGTGCATTTTTTGCAGATATCCATTCTCCCAAACTATCGACGTTAAAGCCAAATCAGGACCATTGAGACTGCACCCAGGTATTATTGCCAGCGGCCCCCCTGCTTACTCAGAATTTATTCTCCCTGCTACAATTTCTTTGAAAATTATTCTTGTTTCCTTACACAGATAAAAACAAATGAAGATGAGAAAAATACTGCTCCTGAGATGCTTCAAAACACAAGCTTTGTTTCAAAACCTAGTTACATATGCTAACAGAAACTAGCCTCAACTGTCTGACGCATTTTACAAAAATCAGGCAGGGAAAGCAAACAGTCAGATAGTTAGGGATGTTCTTCAGACATCCTTCAACAGGAGCGACTGGGCAGGAACAACCTGCATGCCTCCTGGCACAGGGCAGCAAACAAACCGCTTCATCTACGGGCTAGGATGATCCTTGACACTTGAGGAAAGCAACTCCATGAGGATAATTCTGCAAAGATAGCTTCCTTTGTGTCATATATATCAATATAAATAACATAGCTGTGAGTGGACAGTCGCACCAAAGAACAATACTGTATGCCAATGCCCAGGGTGATTACGTGCACGCTGCTCTCGATCGCTGCAGTGAACAGGCGGCCAGGACCGCGCCTTCGCTACAGCCCAAAGTTGCTGTGCAAGTCTCTGCTGGGCAGGCATAAAATTCTGCTTTCAGTGGGCATTGCACACTCTGCTTAGCTACAGGATGCACTCCCAAATTTTTACGTTAAGGAAAGCAGTAAAGGTCTTTTCTCTCTTTCTCATAAGGGAATAAAGAATTA